TTTAATCACAGCTGTGGGCATAGCAGTGTTTTGACCCAGTGTCACATCCACCTAATGAGGACAGACTTTCAGAGAGCATAGTAAAATTGTGGCAGATAGACAACCTTTGCTTTACCATCACTAAAACATTACCATTAGTTCAAGAGAGGTTAAGGAGTTACAACACTTACAATATGAAGCATCTGTAAGTTGTTGCTATTCTACAACATATCTTGAATGCTCAGCAATTATCAGTACAATTTGAGCCACAGGGCTTGTATATGTGTTTTAGAACTCTGCCTCACAAGGCTGTTTTTATACTGACATTTTGGTATGGACAATTGCTTCTAAACTTCAGGTATACCTTGTCAGTGGGTAAGGGAGAAATTCAAGTTCCAGTTACACCACTAGGTAGGCAGGTATCATTGGCTTACACTAGCACATAAGCACATCTATGAGTCATCTTAAAAGAGCACACTCACTTAATAGGCTAAAATAGATGTTCCTATATGTAAGATCTTAATATTAACAAGGCTGTTTAGCTGTCAAGATACTCCAGGGAGAGTCACGCACTTTTTTTTTATTGAGACACCTCTCTGTCTCTATAGAGAGAGATCTTTTCAGAACTTCCCCCACGTAGAGAATCTTGACCTATCATCTGGTAGTTCATATAGCTATTAATTGGCGTTTGGTTTTCTGGTTGGTTTTTTGGTTTTGTTTGTTTGTTTTTCCCACCCTATAACATGTGGTAAGAGCACCCAGTCTGCTCTATACCAACACTATTCTAGAGAGGCTGTAGAAAGCAGTTAATTTCATTTATTGTACTATGGTAACCGCATTAGATGCCTCTGTTGATATGCTTATTTGATATACTTGGTGTTATTCTAGTTCTGCTCATTTTCTTCTCTCATGATGAAACTTGAAGTGTCTGCCGGATTTCAGGAGAGCTTGTGTTACATTATCTCAGTTGGGAATATATCTCAGACAAATACCAATCCTCTACTCTCACTTCCAAATGCATACACACAGCACTAATGAACACATAGGCAATACCATGATGTTGGACAGTCTGAAGCAGAACTATTAAAGAACAAAGATCCAGTCAAAATATCAGTATCAACTCAATTTAGTGCTCTATCTACACAGCATTTGTTAACTCATCATGTGTTAGAAAAAAAAAATACAGTATAAATTGAATTCTGCTGGGCTTAGCCATTAGGCTTCCAGATTTTGGAAGGTTACTTTAAGGAATTTAACTTCCATTTTTCAACATTCACATCAGCAGGAACTGCAGCAGTTTTAAGCCTGTAAATGACCTTACCTCATAAGATCTGAGACCTGAGGAGTTATGAGTGCAGTCAGCTTCCTTGTTGTTCTGTACTGTTGCAAAGATGAGCCAAGTACCAGTGCTCCTTTCACATAGGAGTCATTTGTGGCTAGAGTCACAAAAGACTGGTCTGGAAGAAATTAACTTGGTCAAGTTAGCATGATCCACTATTTTATTCCAGGACAGATATACTAGAAACCTAGTACTGTTAGATAGTCATGTTATAAGACCCCCAAGATGTGCCCTTTAACTCTGCATATTGGGTCTACCCAGATAGCTGAATTAAGCAGATTATACTTACATAGCTACACTTCCTATTAGTAACTTTACACATGGCAAAGTGCAGTAACACACCCCCCCCCTTGCACCCTCCCCCCAGCAAAATCAAGACTGTTGCAATAGAATACCACTTTCAATTTGCCCACAGGTTAAATAAATCATGCTAAATGTTAGACACAATCCAAAAAGTCTAGAGAGCCTTATTTTGGCCATCAATACAATATTAAGCTAAAAGTATTGGGAGTCACTGAGCCTGCATTTGGTCAAAGTTAGTAGTTCTGTAGAGTTACTCTAGGTTCAGCTCTCAACCCTGAAGCTAGGGCAGCATAAAATTTTAATTTCATTTTCAAATGAAAGCAAGCATTGAATTAGATCTTGGACAACAGTATTAAGTTTTGCTAGCTCAGGATTTGGCAGATTAGTTGTTCTGCAACCCATGGTTGCAGCTCAGTCACAGGAATGCAAGTTTTAAATTGGAAGTAACCAGTAATATGATAAAAATAAGACTTGCAACAACAGTTTTTGCTCTTCAAGCAAAAAGTAGTAAGGTTGGATGGTTACTATCAAGTATGATTTCTGCTTCAGCTCTACCTTAAATACAGATTAAGATGGATCACTTTGTCATATAATACAAGCTTTACATTCTTTCAATTGTCAGGTTGTTTTAAGCTGCCAGGGTGGAACAGACAAAAGCAAACAAGTTCTTCAGTTCACTGCTAGCTATTGTCATGTAGACTTTTTTATAAAGCACTGTAGCTTGGAAAGGAAATGTGCTCTTTTTTAGCAAACCATTTTTGACAACATCAACAAAACAGCTTCTTCACAGGAATTTTGAGAGTAGATTTCCACATTCAAATTTATATTAAAAACTGTGATTTTTCTTTACAGAAGTAAACTAGGCTAGATCAGGATGCAGAGCGAGGGTTCTGGCCACTTAGAGGCTTGCTATCAAGTCTAGTAGTAAGATTACTGACTGCTCTACTTCCAGAGAAATTGTTGTTTGGTACAGCTCACTGCATGAGACAGTTGCCAATTACCTTTTTAACTTAATACTATCTTAACAGTTCACAACAGAAAGCCATGTACTACAATTGTATATAAGCACTGGAAACCTGGTTTGCAAGCTCTACAGACCAGCTACAAAACTTTCTCTTTTGCTTAGCAGCAAAACCGACTAGTCCCAAGGGATTTAGATTATAGTGGCCAATTACAAAGTTCAAAAAAAGCTTCTGCAATACCAGAAATAAAGTTTGTTGGGTCGATTTTTTTTTATCCCAGCAATTGACTTTAGCTAACAATTTGTACTAGTACATATATTCAGCAAATGTACAGAATGTGTTTCTTTAAGCTTTACAAATAGTAAGCATGTAGCAACATTTTTCATGACTTAATTTGCATGTTACTCCTCAACACATAGAAGTCTGCCACTCTGCTGGCTCACAGCTTACTAGAAATCCAGTGTAGATAAAGTGGGGTTGTGCCCAACATTCATCTGAATGTTGCCTTGGTTTTATTTATGGTCTGTTTTGGTTTTTTTGGGGGTGGTTTTTTTTTTGTTTTTGTTTTTTTTGTTTGTTTTTCCCAGCAGTGCAAGGCTAATTCTTAAAATGGCCTTGCCACTACCCTTTCATTGAACTGTTAATAGGTGTACTTCTCCCACATCTCCTTATCTTGCTGAAGCTGAGTATTCACAAAGGTTTTAGAGAAATAAAGTCAACTTAATGATGGAGCAAAGACTAAAAAACCCCGTTACATCCCAGCCTCAGCAGGAAAGTTTGACTGCTTCACAGGAGGAGGATACTAACAACTTATAGGGCATCCAAGTCAGTACAGCTCTCCAAAGTTCTGAATGAGTTATGTTCTGTCTCATACCTTCTCTAAAGTACATTCGCATATACATTCAGATGTGTTATGAATGAGTCCATACTACAATTCTGGCAAGAGCAGTTGCTCTTTAATAAAGTTACATCTGCAAGACTAGTCTATTCTACCCAAACCACAAGTATTTCAGCTGTGTGAGTCTCCCTTCCCATCCTCTCCCCCCTTCCATTCTCTGTGAACACTTCCTCTACAGTAGGTTATGTTCACACAGCAGTCACTATTATGCCTGAAACATAATGAACTGTTAGTAACAGTGTGGCTGCAAGACCATAGAGAATGGGAGGCAGTTGCACAACTTCATAATTGACTTATCTAGGCAAACCCAAGCTACCTCAGAGACATCTTTGGCTGCCCAATTCATAGGCTATAGGATCTTTACACACCCCAGAGCATCCTGGAAGTCTGAGCTAGGAGCAATCTTTTATGTGACAGCATGCAGGAGTGCTTGCCCTAGATGTTGTGAAACTTCCCCTGAAAGCATTTTCAGACACAGCCGAGTTTGCAGGTGTTTGCCTCTTCTCTGAGTCTGGTTCTAGCACATCTGACTTTTTGACTACAGGATTTCTAGGAACAGAAGCACCTAATCGAGACGTGCACCAGAAGGCAGAGCACCAGATTCCCTGCAACCTTTCAGGTCCGAAAGTGAAACCGACTCCACTGACAGCTTCAGCTGAGGCAAGAATCGTGAAAAAGCATCAAAGCGCACGGCAGTTGCACGCTCTCGTTTCGGGACAGAGCCAGCTTTTCCCCTCTGAGCCGCTGCGGCCCTACAGGGACCCCCCCAGACGCTCCCGCTGGCCGCATCCCTCCCGCTGGCGATGGGGGTACCAGGGAGTGCGGCTGCACCGCAGCATCCCCTCGACCAACCGCGCGGCGGTGCCCTGCCCCGAGGGACGCCTCCACTCCCCCGCCCCCCCCCCCCCCCGTGCAGCCCTACCCCCACCGCCGCCGGCACGGGCTCGCCGCGTGCTGGCAGGGGCCGACACCTAAAAATAGGCTCTCGCGGGCCGCGCCGCGGACGCAAAGGCACCGGGGGCGCGTGGCGGCCCCGCAACGCGGCCCGCGCCGCCAGCAGCCCTCGCGAGTCGCGGCGCGCCCGGCGGGGGCCCGCGGGGAGCGGCGGCCGCGCCCACTGACCTGCCATGGCGGCGGCTCCGCGGGTCCGCTGCCGGAGAGGGGCGGCCGCGCTGCCAGAGCCGAGCTCGGACCGACCCTTATATAGGGGCGGGGCCACGGGGCAGACGTCTGGGGCCGGAGGAGGAGGCCCCGCCCTAAGGAATCCCCCGCGTCGCGGCGGGGCGGGGTCTCCGCCATGGTCTCGGGCGGTGGCTGCACGCCGTGCCCCTCTTCTGGCATGGCGGGGCCCCCGCAGGGGCGGCCGGGGATCGGGGGGGCGTCGGGAGGAAGTACTGTCTTCCCTGGTGCCTCCTAGGCCAAACAGGAGCTTGAAAATGTTCCACCGTGCGGACAGAGACAGGACCCCATATCGGGATGGTGTGGCTCTGATTTGCGGCACCGGTGGCACAACAGTGTGCCTCCTGTGTCCGTCGAGCCCTGCAGGGAAAAGGAATAAAACCACGCTTGGCCAAAAGCCACCTGCAGCAGCAAGGGATGCATTTACAGTATAGGCAAACGCCAGACAGCCCTAGTCCTGTGGCCGTGTTGGGGTAGCGTGTCGGCTGGTGAGCCGTTGCTGGTACTACCACAAAATGATAGCTGAGGATGGTGTTCCTATGAGGCGGCTGCACGCACAGTTGGGATCACTGGTGGGCTTTGAAATGCAGGTGTTGGCACGCACAGGGTTACTGGAGGTATGTTGGTGGGAGCTGCAGGGGGCTTTGGGATGGCAGGAGGGTCCCTAGAGAAGGCCTGAGGTGTTTTAATTTGAAGGGTTACGCCATCATGCTTCTGTTCAGCATAACTGGTACTGTTGGCAGTGCTTGGTACCTCTGGGGGTTGTGTGTCAGCAGGTGAGATGAGGAGATATACCTACACTTACATATTTTCTTTATGGCTCAGTTGCAGCCCTTTAAGAAATTGAAGCTGTACTTTTTTTTTCCAGGACTATAGGAAGGGTTTTAATAAGTTTCTTGTGCTTTTCTTTTAACTTTTGCAAGCATTAAGAGTATTAAGACTCTAATACAGGTCCTTTGTTATTCACATGACTCTTTACCTACTAAGCAATTAAAAATTATGACAAATAGTGAAAGGCATAGATGTACAAGATAGCCTAACAGTTAGGCCACAGAATCATGGACTGGTTGAGGTTGGGAGGTTATCTGGTCCAGTCCTGCTGTTTGAGCAGGGTCATACAGAGCTGGCTGCCTATGACCATGTCCAGATGGCTTCTGAGTAGCATTATATGCCAGTCCTCCGTCACCCTCACAGTGGCAGTGTTTCCTGATGTTCAGAGGGAACCTCCTGTATGTCAAGTTTGTGCCCGTGGACTCTGGTCCTGTCACTGGGCACCGCTGGAAAGAGCCTGGCTCCATTTTCTTTATGCTCTCCCTTCAGGTACTTATATGTATCAGTGAGATCGCCCTGAGCCTTCTCTTCCCCAGGCTGAACAGTCCCAGCTTTCTCAGGCTTCCCTCATAGAACAGATGCTTTCTTGACCCTTCATCATCCTTATGGCCCTTTGTTGGACTCTCTCCAGTATGTCCACGTGTTTCTTGGAGTGGGGAGCCCAGCACTGGACACAGTCTTCCAAGTGATGCCTCACCAGTGCTGAGCAGAGGGCAAGGATCACCTCTGTAAAACTACTGGCCATGCTTTGCCTAATGCAGCCCAGGATGCCATTCATCCGCTTTGCAGCAAGGGCACTTTCCTGGCTCACGTTCAACTTGGCATTTACGAGGACTCCAAGGTCCTTTTCTGCAGTCTGTTGTCTTCCTCAAGACAATGGCCTATATCTGTTTTTTCACCAAGAATAACCTGAGGAAAATCTGTTAGGAAGGGAACCCCTTTCTAACCTGAAATGGCAAAGGGGTTTTGTCATGAAAGGATTTAAAAACTAAACAAACCCTCAAATGCAAACTGATGAACAAAGAACATTTCACCTCCAATTTACCCAATACAGAAAATTATGTTTGAGCTGAGACAATTTTTGTAGACACGTCTTAAAATCAGATTGCTTACTTTTAAAAATGCCAAAGTCAGGGAAGTGCTTCTTGACCAAGAGAAAAAAAAAACCAAACTTTTAGAACATACAAGTAATTTATAAAACGGCATGTGCAAAAAAATGCATGAATCACAATTACAGACAATGCTGGTATGTTGTACATGAGTAGGGTTTACTAATATTTTTCCCATATGCAGCTCTTTTTCAGGTATCCATGGCTTGATAAACTTTCTCTGTAATGGTGTTGGGCATGGTTTGTGTCTGTCTCAGATGAAAGTTTTGAGAAGTTTTTAGCCAGCAAATTTCAGCTGCGTCTAGCTTGTTGCTTTGCCAAGTTTTGAGAGAAAACAATAGCATAGCCGCTGTTGGTGACTGCCCTCTCTGCCGCCCCTCTGGCTCCTTTGTATTATGTTAGAGTGGAGCAAAAGGGCATAATTCCTTCTGGTTTCCATGTTAAAGAATAAAACAAACAATCAATTAGGTTTGTCGGTGTTAAGCTTTAAAGTGTGACAGAGAAATGCTCCCCTGCCCCTATGCACACTCCTGTTTGCATGCGCTTGTTTGAGATTTTTCAGATGCTTACGATTGAACAGGCTGTAAATTCTATGGCTCTCTTGTGTGACTGGATTATACGTACATCCATGCCCCTGTACTGACTGGTTAACACTCCTTTCCCCACAAGGGGAAGAGTCACAGGAAGAACCTGAGGGATAGTCTGGTGTCCCGTTGGCTTCCAGATCAGAAGGAAGAACAGATCATGTGAATTGAGAAAACTGAAAAAAAAAAAAAAAGAAGGAATGTTTGGGACAAGCTCTCAGGAGATGAGAGCTAAGACGGGAAAGCATCTAAGCCTAGGACACTATAGGACTTGATAGAAATCTGGTGAGAAGGAGGAAGGAATGAATTTTGATGGATAAAGAGGCAGACAACATTTGGAAAGAATGGACGAAGTGCTGCATAGCAGCTCATTAGTGCATACTGGCATACTGAACAAGGTGCACATCCTATGAAAAATTAGCTTGTGATTATGCAATTACAAAATTACATCACAGTGCATATCACAGAAGTCGAATCACCATTGTGCATTATGGAACATTCTATTTTTAATGACTAATACTGTTATTTTCGTAGGAGCTTGTCTACAAATTAAGTAAAAAGACATTTCACAACACCAAATACTAAGAAGTAGCTTTGAAATACAGTTAGGATTTACATAGCAGTAACAGAAACTGCTACCCCTGTAACTGTGTTAAGTGTAAACGTCTAAAGCACTTGGTTAGCCACTTACACTTTATATAATAATTTTTCAAATGTGCACTATGAGTCCAAACATTAAATTAATAAAATGTTCTAAGGCAAGTTTCAATATAAAACATTATTTCTGCCTCTGCCAAATCTGGAGGAAAAAAGAAAAATAGTCGACTCCATGCATTCAGTAAGTTTGAAGTACTGGAATTCAATTTTCAGAGCACTGCAACTGAAATGATAATCTGTCTAGTCAGGAAAGAGAATTCCATAGTGTGAAGGGCATAGATGGGTGTATAAAAAGAGTATAGCCTGATTCAAGACTCTGCTGAGAGGTTTGCTTCCATTTTTGTCCTGCCATCTCTGTCTTGCCCTGTCATAAACTTCCCTGATGACAAAAATTGTTCTGGGTCATCCCCTCAGTTTTTTGAACCCCTTCGCACCTTGACCTTACTGTGAAGCTAAGACTGGACATTTATTGTTTCCGAACTTAGAACAGTCTGCTAAGAATTTTAAAATTTGGCACAAATTTTTCATAGGGCTAGGATTTCTGAAAATCTGAAAGGGGTAGATTTGGCTTAGACCCACTATGAGAGTGGTTTGACACTGGCACAGGTTGCTCAGAGAAGCTGTGGCTGCCCCATTCCTGGCAGTGTTCAAGGCCAGGTTGGACAAGGCTGTGAGCAGTCTGGTCAAGTGGAAGGTGTCCCTGCCTGTGGCAGGGCGGTTGGAACTAGATCATTTTTAAGGTTCCTTCCAACCCAGGCCATTCTATGATTTCAGTATAATGTAACTTATTCCAGTGGGACTGAATAGGCTTTGGTGTTTCTATTTGAATAATTAAAAATTAATGCTGTCACTCCATCTTAATCTCGTTTCCTAATGGGCATTTTCTTTGCCTGTCCCAGAGTCCATTCACAGATCTGGCCTCATTTCCTTCAAAGAAATTCACGTATTATATCAATGCAATAGTCTCCTGCCAAGCTAGGCTCTATCTTCGAAATCTTAGAATCATAGAATCATAGAATAGTTAGGGTTGGAAAGGACCTTAAGATCATCTAGTTCCAACCCCCCTGCCATGGGCAGGGACACCTCACACTAAACCATGTCACCCAAGGCTTCATCCAACCTGGCCTTGAACACCAACCAGGGATGGAGCATACACAACCTCCCTGGGCAACCCATTCCAGTGCCTCACCACCCTCACAGGAAAGAATTTCTTCCTTATATCCAATCTAAACTTCCCCTGTTTAAGTTTTAACCCGTTACCCCTTCTCCTATCACTACAGTCCCTAATGAATAGTCCATCCCCAGCATCCCTATAGCCCCCCTTCAGATACTGGAAGGCTGCTATGAAGACTCCACGCAGCCTTCTCATCTCCAGGCTGAACAGCCCCAACTTTCTCAGCCTGTCTTCATACAGGAGGTGCTCCAGTCCCCTGATCATCCTCGTGGCCCTTCTCTGGACTTGTTCCAACAGTTCCATGTCCTTTTTATGTTGAGGACACCAGAACTGCACACAATACTCCAGGTGAGGTCTCACAAGCACAGAACAGAGGGGCAGGATCACCTCCTTGACCTGCTGGTCACGCTTCTTTTGATGCAGCCCAGGATACAGTTGGCTTTCTGGGCTGCAAGCGCACACTGGAGCCGGCTCATGTTCATTTTCTCATCAGTCAGCACCCCCAAGTCCTTCTCTGCAGGGCTGCTCTGAATCTCTTCTCTGCCCAACCTGTAGCTGTGCCTGGGATTGCTCCAACCCAGCTGCAGGACCTTGCACTTGGCATGGTTAAACTTCATGAGGCTGGCATCAGCCCACCTCACAAGTGTGTCAAGGTCCCTCTGGATGGCATTCCTTCCCTCCAGCGTATCAACCGAACCACACAGCTTGGTGTCATCAACAAACTTGCTGAGGGTGCACTCAATCCCACTGTCCATGTCAGTGACAAAGATGTTGAACAAGACTGGTCCCAACACCGATCCCTGAGGGACACCACTCTTTACTGGTCTCCAGCCGGACACTGAGCCACTGACCACAACTCTGTGCGTGCGGCCATCCAGACAGTTCTTTATCCACTGAGTGGCCCATCCATCAAATTGATGTCTCTCCAATTTAGAGACAAGGATGTCGTGTGGGACAGTGTCAAACGCTTTGCACAAGTCCAGGTAGATGACATCAACTGCTCTACCCCTGTCCATCTTGCATTTGCTTGGTGTGTTACTTAACACGTGCCAGTGACCACATTCAGCAGTTTAATGATTCCTTGTAGCTAACATGATAAACACTTATATAAGCAGTGAAACAAATATATCTCA